TAGTTTTCAATATACATGGTATTGAGACATGCACAATAATTAAATACTTTAAGTATCGATATTTTCTAATTAAATATGTTTGATAAATGTCGTGGCGACATTCAATATCAATAACATGTTTTACAACAAACTCCAAGAAATCATGGGATCAGTTAATACATGAAGATTTCAGCCCGACCGGTTCAACCTAGAAGTCAAACCTAACCGGCCTTACCCGGCTGGTTTTAGTTCGGTTCTCATTGAGATCGGTTCGGTTCCAATACTATCCTTCGGATGTCAATGGCGGGGAAACTAATTCATCTCCTCCGGAATTACTCTATATATCCCAAATGTGTGAACATTATCAATTCCTCAATTTCTCAAAAACACAAACAGAGAAGGGCATTTTTCTTATACAACGCGACCCTTGAAGTTAGGGAAATGCTTCTCAAAATCAGCGAAAAGACGCAGCCCTAAACAATCTAGTACCGTGTATCGAAACACCAAGACATGTTGCAGTCGCGCGTGCACATATCGAAAATTAAATAATTGATAAAATTAAATAGTCATATAGGTTTTTTTTTTTCTTTTTTTTCCCTATATTTAGGTTGCTGGTGTGCTAATTATTCTCGACGCAAGACTCACATTTCCAAGCGTGGGGGACTCTGTCATATTATATGTCCCCACGAGAAGCCGACAAGGCAGCAATCAGATTCCCCTGTCCAGTCATGCTTTGGACACCCTAGTGGGAGAGAAGTTGCCGGTATGAGTGTCCAAAAGAGAAGTTCGACATTTGCTTTTGCCTTTTCTTATGTTTTTTTCCCCCTTGAGTAATCAATTGAGTTACGTATTCCAATTGATCGAGAATTCTCGTGTCATGTACAATCATAGTTTGGAAGACTTAGTTATTATGATAGATGTATGCCGGACAAATGCCTCGAGAGTGTCGCGGACGTGAATCTCATATTACATAACGAGAAATGGGAAATAGTTAGTAAGAACGGAAATTAAATAAATCTCGTAGACAATTGTTAGTTCCACACCACCATCGTTGATTGACAAAATGGTTGAAAAGATTTAGTCCAACCCCAACGCAATGTCGCTGTGTCTAAGTTTTAAGGTAGTAATTCCTTCCATTCTTCTGATTTGGGCATCGACGTGATCTATCTCTAATCTAACTAGAGATGTGAAAATCCAGTAGGTGAAATCTTATGGCGTAAAATTCTTGCTCGGAAAGAAAATTGACATTTTCGTGAACAGGGACACGAAAAATGATATGAAGGGCGCATAATGGTCTTCAAAGTGACACTCGATAGTGTTTTTTTAATTTAAAGGTGTGTAAGCAGTATTATGGTAAAATGGGAATCATATATATTTTTTTTAAAAACGATATTGATGATTCAATTGGAGGTGGGGACCCAAAAGAAGAAAATGGGACGGGGCTCGATGGCCGTGGAGGTTGATGATCAACCCTTTCAGCAAAGCAAAATAAACGCTCACGTTGGAGCCACCGCCCCATATGGCCGCTCCTCCCATCACCGGCAACCCGTGCTTCTCTCTCTCTTTCTGTAGTTTAACTTTACATGCGACTTTTCAGAGTTTTATGATTTCCACAGTATCATAAAAAAAATTGAGCTTGAATGAACTAGATAGATAACGGCGTTGATAATATAGAAAGGAACAAGACAGTAATAGTTCATTGGATTTGGTGTACGTTTTTTGTATGAAAATAGCATGCTCTTGGAATGTTCATATGTTTGTCTCTAAAACGTAACTTGCAGATTACGCGATACTTCTTAGTTATTGTTTTGGGTGCAGAAATCGTCATAGTAAGCGGTAAACAGTAGAAACTCTAAAGTAGGATGATAATACATTTACGATGAGTAAGGACATGGATCCTCTACCCTATACTATCTCCACTCGATGCCTCAATAAATATCAACCATTGATGAAGATAAGATTATTATTTAATATTGTGATTGGCACGGTCTAGGGGTAGAAAATCTTTATTTGTGAGTTAGGTTTGTGATAACTTAGCATTGCGCTAATGATAAGTGTACGTAACTTTAGTGGTTGGATCTACATCACTAGTCCCTTTTATATGCTACCATATGAAAATATGTATTTGGTTGAGATTTAAGTTGATCTCACATGAGATGATGACTTCCTAGAGTAACACGTATCTTTATATTATTCTTTCTTCTTAATAGAATTCAAGAAAACAGGGGGAGTAGATTAGAAAAAAGAGGGGATAATCTTAATTAGCATTTCAACTTCCCCCATTAGAAGCAGTTTTCATTCCTAAAATGCCCCTACATCCACACGAAAATTGAACATCAAAGGCCGGCCACTGCCATATCATGGTCGAGCGCCACTGGCCACCAACACCAACATCGACACGACCTCAGGCCACCGGTCGTGAAGTATATACATGTATGTAATTTAAACTGCGGTTATCGATTGAATCATGTGCTTATCGTCGTTGATGAGGATAAATAGAAAGGTGACATACTTACATTTTGCGTCATTAGAATAAGCCAATCATCAATCATTTTTCAATTTGGATCAACTAGACTTGTGGGTTTGTCCTTATTGTTGTAATGGTTAGGTCACTTGTATTTCTATGATTCTTTAATAGCCTCGTGTCTCTCTCCTCCAATCTGCCTCAACACCTCCGATTCACAAGTCATAGAAAGGTGGGCAGTTCCCAAATCTTCACCCACGAAAAAACAAATTGTTACAGATCCAATCCTCATGCTGTCGAATTCTCTCCTGTATCCATACGCAATGTATACTTCCGAAGAGAGATTGCACTGAAGTCCATCCCTTCGTTGTACATCTCTATATTTTTTTATTATTAATTTGTGGGTCCACTCAATTTCTTGAAATTCTATTGGAATTGAATTTTCTTTTTATTTATTTATGACCACCTCGTTTCACATGGTCAATTAAGGGATGCAATTATTGTGCCGGTACTGTTCATGAGTGGTGATGAGGAATCCATCCCCCCATACGACCCTACAACTGTACAGATAATATCTGATTCTTGCTTCCTAGACTTTTCCTCTTCTTCTTCTTTTTTTCCTTTATTTCGTTTTATTTTTATTTTCCAAGATAATCCGAGTTGTCTGTCTTTTGGGACAAGCAGTTTTTTGACAAAAAAAAAAACGAGTTCCTTTACAAGTTCTGTTGATAGCATTGTTTTCTTCCTTTTTATAGGCTAAAGATGCTTTTTAAAACAAAACAAATCATTTGAATTGTCCTAAAAATATAAAGTTTGGGAACCAATTAAAGGGCTAGCAGCATCATCATTTGTAGGTGTAATTTCGAAAATGACAACCCTTTTATTTTCCTAAGACTTCTGAAGTATCATTTTGGCAAATTATCTCTTTCCCAGAACAAGTTTTACTAGGTTTTAGGCTGTACCCTCAAATGGCTGGTAGGCTTCTCTACAGTTTTCTTTTTGAGCTTTTCTTTTTTTCTGAAACTTTGTACAACCATTGTTTTACGTGGTCCTCCCTTTTCCAGAGGATCATGTTAGAAAAGTGCTACGAATAACCTATTCAGTACTAAAATATATGAAAACGTTATTGTTTTGAATATACATGGCAGGTGACATGCACGATTAATACTTTAAATATCCATATTTTCTGATTAAATATGTTTGATAAATGTCGTGAGGACTCTCGTTAACAAGACCATGTTATTAAAATGAATAAAATTTATAATATTCTTTTGTCTATTTTAAAAGTTTAAATTAACGGACGAAAGCACTTCATTGCTTAATTATCTCAAAGCTCCTCCCCTCGCGGATGTTGACATCAGTTAAATTTCACCTATATGCATGTCACCGATTTCTTACAAAAATCTATATAATCGAATGAAAATGTAATCCGTTTTAAATAATCACTAACGCCCTTTATTTCGGAGGTACTCTCGGGCTAGCTATTCCAAGAGGTGCAACTTAAATGGGCGGTCAAGATCCACTGGTCGGCTGGCCAGGAGATGCCATGAATGCCTCACCTATGTAGATGAGCACATATCATTAATCTGTGACATAAACTTAACAGACAAGTATTAAAGATACATGAGACAACTCGTACTTGATCATAAAACTGCTGGGTGCATGTGATCCATTTTCTTTCTTTTTGGCAGGCCTTTGTTTATCTTGATGATTGTCTTGAGCTATGGAAAGAGGCTTTTGGATCCTCAACAATCATAAAGAATGCAACCCAACAATCTTAAACAATTTCACATAAACAATAACATGGGATCAATTCTTTTATTCCAAGATATCTGCTTAAAATATGTGTGCATTGCTGGATTTGTCCGGGGGCATCTCTTTCACTAACCCTGAATGGGATTGGCTGAGGGCACTGGGATTTGTTTGGCATGCCTGTGACTTGTATATGCATCTAATCATCAAAGCTTTTTGGGTTCTGTGAAACTTTGAGAGACAATCTCAAATTCTTCTATAGCTTGCATTATCATTATCCCCATTATTTTAGTATATGTTTCTGTATCTGCTTTGACATGATCATGTACTTATAGAGACAATATGATGGGAGGACAAAGTCTCTTTTTCTCTTGGTGAGGGGAAAAAAAAGTAAGCTTTGGCTGAAGAAGTAAGGTTGGAAACTAACTGCTAGAGGAGAGACTTTAAGTGCTGGCTTTTTCTCTTAAAGAGAGATCACACAGTCATCATTCTCTGTTTCAGGCCAAACAGAAAGTTCCTTCCTCATCAGCTCACCAAACTCTTTCAGGTCAGATGATATATCTTACACCTTCTCTTCTTTCTTCTTCTTCTTCTTCTTGAGTCTTTTTCGTTATGAATTTACCCAATATATTCACCACCTTATACTCCTTAGTCCTTTCACAAAGAGTGATCACCTCTATTTAGAACATCGGTCTGTGATGATAGATGGCGTGTTCTTTTATTTTCCACGCATTTTATTCTCTTTTACCCCTTTTCTTGTTTGCTTTGCTATGTATTTGGGATCAGCTACAGATGTTACAAGTACATAGAAACTAATTATTCTTGTATTGGAGCCCCGTAGCTCGGGTTTCGATCATAATCACGTAGAAGAAGAAGTCTTCATGGTGATAAATGTTCTTCTTGTTTCGCAAAGATTACAAAAAGTCCACGCAAGATGTTTGAGAGAAGAGCTGCGTGAAATTTGACAGCAGAAATTGCAGGAACTAATTCCTTCTTTTTTCTGTCTTTAATCTTTTTCTATGGTGCTATCAGATTCTCTAGTACACTGTACATCGATTTCACAACCTCGGTCTTCTAAAATGAGCAACCAAGCATGAATTGCCCAAGATACTTGGGATCTAAGGAATTAAAATGGACTATATTCTTGGAAAATGCTAAAACAGATCTGCAATTATTGTCTGATGGAAAATGCCAACCTGTCATGTGTGTTGCTAGATATTTGTGTTAGAAGCAAAAAAAAAAAAAAAAGAGCCAAGGAAAGAGACAAATTATCCTTGAAACAGTTTATATCAACAGCCATTTATCAGGATACCATTCAAAGAAAACATTTTACAGCCTCTCCCTTTCCAGTCCAATACCTACTTCTTTCTCATCTTTTGTGTTTTTTTATTTTTTTTCCGCCATAGAGAAGAGAAAGATTCAAGACCCAAATTCAAGCGCATTTGGTTGGGAAAGAAGCACTGACGGCGAATTGTTATCGTGAATTCGACTGGCTTGGAACCTCCATTAAAGCTCCAAATGGAGAAGCTTCTGTGGCCAAATGATAAAGAAGACATGAAGTTGGCAATGTTAAAGCATGAAGAGACATTCAGAGAGCAGGTATACGTTTTCTTCATCCTCCCCATCTTGCCTACAAGTTACAAAATTCCTCGTTGGCTCTAATCAACTCTCTGAATTTAACTAACGTTGGATTAAAATCGCAGGTTTATGAACTTCATCGTCTATACCAGATCCAGAAGGCATTGATGAAGAACTCTAAAAACAGCAGCGGCAGCAGCATCCATGGAGAAGGACTACACCTAGAGAAATCGAATTACATTAATAGTCACAATTCTAATCCTCTACCAAGTTCAAAGATGAGCGTCGACTTTGAACGGCTGGCCGGAGTATACAACAATGCGGACTCGAAGGGATTAGTCGGAGTTCATTCGGAGATTTTAGACGAGAGCGAGATTGAGCTGACACTAGGCCCGACAAGCTACAAGAACAGGAGGAGTAAGAAAACGGATACAGCGTTGACTTCGGATTCCAGTCCAACCTTTTCTTCTTCCTCCTCGAGGTCGTCGAGCCACAACGGGTCACAGTCCGGCACACATCAACTGAGTCGTGTTCAGATGCCTTACATAACCAAAGGTTCTGAAAATGGTGGGAAAGGCGAGACCGGTGACGGAGTCGAAGACCGCTTGATTAGAGAGAGAGTCCTAAAACAGCCCCCTTGGCTTTTCCAGGTCTTGAGTTTGAACTCTAGTTAAGAGAAGTTAGATGATTCTAGGTTTTCTCCAGCGAACTGTTTCCAATAGACTAATTTGGCCTCTGATTGATAATTTTAAGTTTGAATCTTTTTCCCTTTTCATCTATTTTCTTTCCCACCTCTATTTCTAGTCTAGTGGGTGGGATTCTTCTGTAAAAAATGTGCTCCTTCCTCTGGCTTGCAAAAAACCCATGAAGATTTCGGAAAATAATTAACATCAGTTTAGCTTTCTCCAAGATTCCTGTCCAATTGCAGAACATAGTTACAGATCATATGATTTTGTTTTTTTGTTCTTTTTATCAACAATGTTTGCCAAAACTAACAAGGAGGATGCCGGTTTAAACAGACAAAAGAGTCCATTTCTACATACTATAATATCTAGCATTCTGGTCCCACAATGGAAGACAGGAGTGAAGTAATGTAACTGTCCTATCTGTATCCTCTATGACTTGATTCTATCATTGTCTCATAGCTTTGTTTGCTCTGTCTTTGGGCTTATAATGCTCCAACTAGTATGTATTCAAGAAAATATATGCAGAGCTAGAGCCAAGAATTTTACTAGAAGAAGAAGAACAAGAAGAACATAGTGCAGAGACAAGAGCAGTGTTGGATATAGGAATAGCTGGGAAACAATAAATACAATAGACATTATAGTAGTCCATCCAATCTTTCAGTTTTAGTACTGAAATGTGTGGCTTATTAAAAGAAAAACTAAATTAGAGAACACTAAGCAACTAGCAATATATGTGGTTAGCAATTGGTCTAAGTTCATGGGCGAAGCTAGCAAAGTTAAACTACAAACCATCCAAAAATGATCTCCAAAACCTCACATGCTCTTCATCTGAAAATGGAGAGAACAACTGTCAGAACACTAACAAGGAAACCCAACAAACAAATAGAATTACAGCCTGTCCTTGATAATATCAGAGAGTGTCGAGTGTTGGGCTGGACTCGTGGACTGGACTTGTACAAGTATTCAAACAAATCCATGAAAGCGAATTTGATGTTATGTTCTTTCTATGTAATTCCAGAAAACTCGCAATTCTTGATGAAGATCAAACTGGAAAAACTTCGCGAGCTGTATGTGTGTGTTTGTGTTTAATAGATAACTGAATCTCTTCCAATTGCATCAAGACAAATGACTCCAACAAACAGCATCCACACTGAAGGTAATAAACTACCAACAGCACTGACCTAGAATGTTGTATAGCTTCTTTCAAGAAAATGGTAAAGAAGTTTAGCGGATTTCGACAAGCATTGTGGTTCCTGTTACTTTTGGAAGGACAGTTACAGAGTAAGTCTGAACATTGGATGTTACAATGTCAGCATCAGAATCGGTTCTCTCACTTTCTTCCTTTTTTAAATTATTATTGTTGTTATCTTCTTTTGTGTATAATTTACTGAGGAAACTGTCATGAGAAAATCATACTTGCGCAGAAACTCTCGTGAAAGAAATGACTTAGCAATATGGACTCTTAGAGGGACACCAATGAATTCATTCCGGCAATACTATTTTCACCATTCAACTGTCACAATTGATCACATGATAAGAATATTTACAACACACGATGAAGAGAAAAAAGGGAAAAAGAAAGATCAAAACAGACTGATAGGAACTTCTAGATATGCTTGCGATCCTCATAAAGCTAAACAAGAAGACAGCTAATCTCTTCTCCAAGTATCAAACGGCTGCAAGGCATATCAACTCCTCAAGATATTGAATGCCGCCGGTCCTTGCTCGGCTTCATTTTACCTCGAGCATTGGGAGGTGTGACTCCAAACGGATAAAGCCGACCCAATTTTTTCGACATTGAGTTTATAAATGATTTTCGAGGCAAAGGAGGCTTATCAGCAGATGACATCGTGCTCCCTGCCGGGCTTCCTGCTGCTGATTTCAGTGTTGACTTTTCGATCTCTCTCAACCTCATCTTCATTTTGACTAGCTCTATTTTCAGATCCTCGTTCTCTCGTTTCAAGCTAGAGAGTTCGTCCGAGACTGGGTGGATGTCGGTGGAGTACACATTTAACTTGCGTGAAGCAGCAGGAGATTCACCCCCAAGGCTTCCATTCATGGCATCTCGCATGCGCTGTTGCTCGTAATACAGGACTTGGACCACGGTCTGAACAGGAAGCCGGTCGTTCTGAGCGGCATGAGCGCAGGCTTCTCGTGATAGCTTCTGGCAGTCCATCAAGCTGCAAACTTTCTTCCTTTCCAGTTCACTGAGAGCAGGATGAGCCTATGAAATGAGGAGATCTTATTGAGAAAAGAAAACATCATTTGTCATGATGCACAAATGAACAAGGATAAATACCTCCACAAATAGTGAAACAGAAATGGACCCATTTTTCATAATGCATATATGAGCAAAGCCTCATCAAAAGTTACACATTATGACGTTTCTGCCAATTTAGCCGGTTTAGTGTTTCTTAAAGAAACTATGATACCCCTCATTGTAGATCATTGTGAGATTTTTGAGTTTTCCTCAGTAAAAATTGTTGCTGGAAACTGTAAATTTCTTTGTGGCTTCTAAAAGATACGAAAGTTACAACTTTGTTAGGAGAACACCTCTTTTTGAGAGAAAACAGGATATTAACCGTGATCACAAGGAATCTCCTGAAAGATACGTAAACACCATAACTATAGGAAGTTACACATCAGCAGCACATGGCTGCAAGATTCATCTGTTTATTCGCTTGGAGCAAATGCAAACACATAGAGATATATTTATCCATTGAAGCATCAACTTGATATATGATAAATCTGGTGAAACAATTTGCTTTATGCAGATATTTAATGAGGTTAGCGAGGAAAACCATCAGATAACTAGACAGAAGAAGAGAGAGAGAGAGGCGACAAACAAACCTTGAGGTAGATGTCAATGGCTCTATACATTCCATCTTCTGTCACCCTCGCTTGTTCTGGAACTAACTCAGCAAGGCTAATGAACCTTGAGACCGACAAATTCCGATCTGATGCTATTTCTGCAAGGTAGTTCTCCATAAGCTTCCCAACCCGCTCCATATCACTAGGAGGAGGAGAAACATACTCTTCATCCTCATTAAATCCCAAACGTCTCCCATCCATTTCGTACTCTAAGTAGTTCACCATAATCCGCTGCACGGTATCGACATCGAACAATGTGTCACCCGTAAAAGAATAAGAAGGTATCAACAGATCATCCAGAACAGCTTGCGGTAATTGCAAGCCCATCCTCTTCTCCAAGTCGAGGCGACAAGCCACTGTGGTCTCGAGATACATAGCTGCACGAAGAAGCATAGAGAGGAAGCTCACCGACATAGTATTCTTCTCCCTCGGAAGAAGACTTACTATTGTTTCTAAAACGACCCGCTTCTCATGCTCTTGCTCTGGCTCAATTTTCTTTCTTCCCTTCCCAAATATGTCCTGCTTTAGAAACAAAAGATCAGCTTCTGAAATACAGAAACTGTCCTGCATTACAGAAAACTTCTATCTTGAGAATTCAGTGTATTTGCTATGTACTTACCAACCCTCTCAGAGATTTTTGTGCATAAAGCATAAGAATTGGACCGAGTGCATATTGCTTATAACCTCTGGCTGTCATCGCAATGAGAACCCTCTGAAAGATATCGATTCTAAGAATAGTCAAGTCTTCAGCCCACCATTCCACAAAGGGGCTCTTATGATGCGAAGCCATAGAAGAAATTACAGCATTACCGTCCTCGTTCGCACCAGTCACGGAGAACTGACTCTCCTTGCAGGCTAAGAATGCTATTGCATCGATGCATCGGCCAACCAATTTCACTTTCTCTGCAATTGGAAAGAGGCTTTCTGTCCTGTGCAAAACAGTGATGGCTCCTGCAAGGCTCTTCAATGCCACTTCCTTCAAGTAGGCCTCGGTTCTTCCCACTAGGTTGCCTACTGCATAGTCCTCAGTCATCTCCAGATACTCGGCGGCGCATCGGAGTGGTGCGATGTTCTCCGTGCTGATCTCAAAATTAATCCCATAACAGAACTTGGCAGCAAGCTCAAATGCTTCTTTCCCACCAGGAATGTCAACTAGTTTGATATCAGAAAGATCGGCTTCGTTCGATTCTGATACAAGTTTCCTTATGTACCCGCATTTTGAGACTAATGGGAACTGCAATTATAATTAGAGTTGAATATGAGCACGATTTGAATTTAAAATTCCTTAAAAAGCATGAATTAGTTGATTAATTCGAGATCCACCCTAGAATAACATGATTGTGAGCTCAGGTAAGGTAGCTGTCTCAGATAAAGAATAAAATTACATTCACATGTCTGATTGAGCTCCAGTTGATTCTGCTTTTTCCTTTCTGATTGGTATCCACCATCATGAATCATTTGCAAGATAATTGAGACTAAACTGAGAGGAAAGGTACTTCCACACATACACACATACAGAGAGAGAGAGAGAAGAGAGAGAGAGAGAGAGAGAGAGAGAGAGAGACCTTATGGAGTGCAAAGGAAGCTCCTGTGGCATGAACGGTGACATCACTGGGAATTTCCTGGGAAAAAATCCTGCAAAATTGAGCTTCATCAATCACCATTTTTTCCCTCTACAATTATTAGTTCTCTTTTCCAGAAAAAAGTAAAAGAAAGTATTCACTTTTAACTCATAACAACAAAGGCATTCAAGAATACTAGTATGCTGATTGAAGCAGTTGGAAGAACAGGTAAAGTGCAAAAACCATGCGCTGGTTCTTTCCATAACAGTGGAAAGAAGCTCCTTCTTCTTGGAATTCCTGCTGGCAACACCTCTCTCGTCATCAAGATCCACCATGTCATGCAGATTGCAGAGCCTTCATCATGATCTTCCCCCCATGAGGTTGAACATGGTGATGTCAGCCATGCACACACACACCCACACGTAATAATGGAAGTGGAAGCTCGGACCAAACGCTCAGAAAAGTTCCACCATTTATCCCAGACTTTTGCGACCAATCATCAATGCTGTGAAATTCCCATATTAGAGTTTTTCCAGTGGATGTGTGTCATGTGAAGAGAAAAGGCATTTTTGGGTAATAATTAAAAAGTGTGGAAGGGAGAGAGTGTGTGAGAGAAGTGCAGGATTGGAGGTAGAGTGTGTGGTGTGGGGTGAGCTTTGAGAGTTTTGTTTTGCATTTAGAAGATGATGATGATGAGACTCTCTCTCTCTCTCTCTCTCTCTCTCTCTCTCTCTCTCTCTCTCTCATGTTCAGTGGGGCGCAGGGAAGAAGTTTCCACGTGCGAATCATTGATGTCCACAGAAGTATACATCTTAAATCCCTCGGAGAGTCGTGTTTATGGGAACTCTTCTGCTAATAGTGAGATTTCGTTACGTTATCGGACTCCACCAAGAGGCGAGGAGGAATTTTAGGTTATCTCTGATCATCCGTGGAAAAATATGATCATAGTCATCATTTAGTATTTAATTATTGACTTGTTTGACGTGAGAAGTATTATTATGGGAGTACTTCAGCATGCATGTTTTTCTTTCTTTTTAGTGTAATCGATTTTTCGTTGACTAATCATTTTCAGCTAACCAAACGCATGATAATCCTAAAAATCAATTTGCGAAAAGTTCTTTCACTCAAACAAACACACCCTTAAATTCGGCATTATAGACACTTCACCTGTAAATTGTTATGTGACTTCCAGTGAAATCGAACTTATTGTGCGCAACAAAAAAGTTTGAACAATGGGTTATTGTGATTTAACTTGAGTTATTTCTTTGAATTCTACCGTTTTCTGTTCTTCACTGGACGATGAAAAAAAGGATTGAACGTAAACGTTACCTATCATGTTGAGCTTGACTTTATATCGATGACTCCACGTTGCATACAATTATGGTACGTTTGGAAAAAGAGGAGGGGAGAGAACATGGCCAAATGGAGAAGAAAATTGGACAAAATCAATAAATTTTCCTCCATTTTCTAGTCATAAATCTGTATACTTCGTCCTACTTTCTACACATCTTCATTCCTCCTATGTCCTCCTATTGTCAAACGGATAGCATTTTCATTCCACTTTATGAGCTCGTCCTTGATTAAAGGTGGCCGGTTTCAAGATGGGTAGATTCCAAATCTGGAACCTAAAACCTATCATATTAGAACCGGCTCACTATTTTTAGAACCCAAACCTACTATATTTTCCCTGGAACCGATCTTGATTTTTCGGTCCGGTTTCAGGATCTGCCCGAGAATCTATTTTTCTTTTGTTCCTTTGTTTGGTTATAAGCGTAGTTGGTATATTCTTTTTAACACAGTGTTCTAAGAGTGTTAATAAAACCAAATACACATGTTGAGCCGCAATTCAACAGGGGCAAAGGCAATGTTAATTGTCTGTCGGACATCTCCTAAGCCAACAGAAACTGCTAAAGGATCAAACTGTGAATTTTGAGCTCAAAGAATCTTAGACCTGGATGCAACCTATGGGGGGCAGGGTGATGGCGTTCTAATTTGCACATGGCGGGGGCAATTGGTGCTCGCCAGGCAACGCTTCTTGTGATTTGACAAGCCCGCACACAAAGGAGGAACAAGACTCACCTTGCTTCCAACAGAAAATTAGTAGGCTAGGCATGTCGACGGCAAAGACAGGCCACAAATCGGAGTTCGTGAGCTGCAAAAGAAAGATAGGCGGAGGTAGGGTTGCTACGGGGAGAGAGAGAGAGGGGGGCAACAACGAGGGAGATGTAGCCTGATCGCTTCGGGCTGGGTTGCCGCGGGCGCAAGGGAAAGTGGGAGACCGCAAGAGGACATGGCGGCGAGGGGTTCTTGCAGTGAGAGGGGGCGACTACGCCATGCGAACGAAGAGGAAAGAAGAGAATATGAGAAATAGAGGAGGCCGAGGTTAGGAAAAAAGAAAAAGATGCCTCGCGAAAAATTAGGGCTTTTAGGCTTTATGAAATCGGTTGCAAATTCGGTATGGTTTCCGAGTGGTTCTTCACTCAGAATCGGGAATCGGATCGGTTCTCACTAGTTCCAAAAATTTGGAATCGAGAACTAAATTTATTTTCAGGACGGTTCGGTTCCTTATTTTGGTATTTCATACACTCTTCTATCTGGAGCGACATTATGATCTCTCCACACCACCAACCTTTTGTAACCTTCTTTTCCGGGGACCGTCTTCATGCAGAATTATTTCTTTTCGTAGTCGTTGTTTCATTATTTTTTTGGTAAGGTGGTGTCAATTTAATGTCCAATGCAATAAATTCATTGCTCCGAGAAATCAATGAAAGCAAATGTTGAGTACACATCAAAGGATTATGTCCCTTCACATCAAGGAACCCCAAAATGTAAACCGGCCAATGTAGACAGATCATTTTGGCCAAAATCTAATCAATAATTCTGAAACGATCTCTCAATCCGTCATTCCCTTGGGGATCTCAAAGTCGAATAAGGCAAGCCATAAGTCCAAGTTTAGGCCCCATCACGTGGACCGACTGCCCCATTGCACCTGCATTTGAGGGCCGGATCAATTTCTGGCCTCTCAATTTTTTATTGATACTTCTTATCATTTGGACGTGTCTACCATCAACGTCTCCTCCGCTGACTAAGTTATTCATGACCTAACTCGGGTGGCCACTCTTTCTGCTTTGCTGATACTTTTTATTTTCTATTTTCAAGTAGGGAAAGTTTGACACCTCTCAGTGCTTCAATTAATCTCTATGATTCCATATCGGTCCGTTTTTTCAAGACAGTATTTCATAAGGATGGACACTTCAATGACAAAATTGCAAAATAGGGCCTAGTCATTCAGCTTTTCCCCTTTTGTGAAAAGGGCATCCATGATTACCTAAGAAGTTGCACCCACATAGGTTGTCTTTTCATACGGACAAGTAGTCCCTATTTGGTGAGTGACAAGCATGTGTCACGCCGACGCTCAAGATCGCAAATCATGCGGCACTTAAGCTTCCTTTGACTCTTACTTGGACACCATAGCTCAACCTTCCCTGATGTACCGCTCACTAACCCACTCGGATCATAAAGAGAGAAAGTGTTTAGAGAGAGAAACTATGGAAGAAAATGTACTTCTATTACTCGAATGTTGGATAATACAAATGAGGGAAATGGTGCCCCTATTTATATATGAGGCCTTCCAATTACTATCATTAATTGCCCCTTAGAGATCCACTCTCCCCAACTAACGTCTGTCTTATTAAATACAAGACTACCATCTACCTTATTAAATGTAAGAAATATCTTATATATAAATTGTTAACACAATGATATTTCGAGGAAGAAAATCACGTTCCTCACTTTTCGTATTTCTTCTTATTAAATTTACAATGACCTAGAAGCGTATATATATATAAAGAAAAAAAGAATCTTAAAAATATATCCTCTAAACTAGCTAACTATAATCCTTGATTCTAGCTAATTACAATCATAAATATATTTTACAGCTCATTCTCACATAAATATATATTTCCCATACCATCCATAGGAATATTTTAGAATCCTCATGAAACCCCAAGAGCCCAAGACACTTCAAGCCTTGCCAATCATCTAGGCTATCTCTACGATCAGTCGAGTCTTGAAACCTTCGGTCCCTGACACATGCATGCCACTCACATACGAGTCTGAAGAATAAAAAAAAAAACAAACTTGAACCCAAAGTTTAGCAACCCCATGACATGATAATGTTCATGTGCAATATGTCATGGCTAATCATGTTCAAAACATGATAATAAAATGAAATGACATGACATGACATGTGGAGATTAAATCTCAAACACGCATTGCATCACATTGCAATAATGACATGCGCCATGATATGGTGGATGATGAAATGACATGACAATGATCACATTCAATATGACATGAAAAATAAGGTTTCAAAATCCAATAATGAAATGACATGACCTGATAATATTCACAAGAAATATGACATGGCAAATCGAATTCAAAACCAGATATGCAATTGACACCACGCGAGGAGCGTTCTCTGATCAATTTGCCGCTTTACTCGGACAAGGTCACGTTCATTTAGAAACGCACATCTGTTAACACAATGATATTTCGAGGAAGAAAACCACGTTCCTCACTTTTCTCGTATTTCTTCTTATTAAGTTTACAATGACCTAGAAGCGTATATATATACAAAGAAAAGAAAGAATCTTAAAAATTATATCCTCTAAACTAGCTAACTATAATCCTTGATTCTAGCTAATTACAATCATAAATATATTTTACAGCTCATTCTCACAACATCTTCCTTTCTGCCAAGTCAAGACAGAATCATGTATTTCAATTCAGAATCATGATACTAATATATACATGCGTGCGGCCTCAGTTAATGGGTTCAAATTGCTATGTATATTGGCTTTTGACATCCAGTCTCATTGCCATAGCCACACACGAACCCATTTCCTTCGGCATATGACCTATGGGTTGGCTCCCAGATAAAAGAGGTCTTTTTAATGCACCACCACGTATTATAGGCCTCGAGAGTCGATTCCGAAATTCCAATCCGATTGAGAGAGCTACCTCTAGGTGATCAGCCCACGGACACCTACAAACACGAGAAAACACACGGAAAGAGAGAAATGCAAGAACCACTTCAAAATGAGAGAGTTTCAAGAGAGCGAGAGAAAGGAAAACACTCATCAATATCATGATCTCAAAGTGAAGAAGGGCGCCTATTTCTATGCAAGGAGGCACGCTACTAGTCGAGGCATGGCCGCCTTGTCATGAGGCTTGCCCCCCTCAGGTCAGGGCTTACATGTTTCGGGTCTCGCTTCTTTTGCATCTAATGACCAATTCGTGTGATCTTCGCACCCGAAAAAAGCTTGTGATGAGAGCTTTCCAACAAGCCATACATTGCTGCAGTACTTAGCAAAAAAATGGCAAAAGTACACTAGAAATGCCATAACTTGTGTACGGCGATCACTTTAGTGCCATAACTTTTTTTCGGATCACTTTGGTGTCAACTTTTTTGAAAAACGATCATTTTAGTGCCAATGCTGATGTGGCTCGCTGGAAATCCGATGTGGCGCTGACACGGCTCGCCGGAGAGGTCCAGTCAACATTAAAAAGCAAAAACGATGCCGTTTAGTCAGCTGACGTGTACTTTTTTTTAAAAAAAAATTAAATTATATTAAATAAATAAAAAGCCTGCAGCAGCGGCGAGGGAGCCCTCGCCGCTGCTGCCGCCAACCCACCACCGCCGGGAAGGGCC